AGGTCACATTATAAATGCAAATATGCTTTCCAGTGCAACTATTACACAGTGTTACTGATAACGGTCATCTAGAATAAAGAGATTGCTCCAAAGGGAAATAAACTAATTGTTCTGTATATTAAGTATGGCCCCAAACAGATTCAGTCTTATTTCTTTGCAGTTTATCACATAATGAACATACAGTAGTGACCTCTTCCTCTAGCTTCTACTTTAGTTTGGTCTTTTCACCTTACAGCATAAACCCTTCAATACCAGTGCTGTAACCTCAACTGCTAGTCCGTCACATTTCTGTTACCCTAATAATGCCCAGTTTCACTTCCTGCACCAGCAATTCAAAATCAACAATGTTTTTGCCTAATCTCCTTATATGAGTGTCAAAACATTTCAGTTGCTAATTCCTGACTATACCCAGTTAGGTAGATTAGGCACAGTCTTTTCACTATTGCTTCCCTGGCTACTGTTCTCATCTGTATTATTTCCTTTCCCTTGCTATCCATTCTCCTGCCCGCTGATATATATATATATTTTTATCTATTGCCACAGCCTTGGAGCCAAATCGATTAAACCTGCTCCAAGTATATGACCATATGATATGGTATTCAAAGTACAAACAGCAGACAGATCTGTGCTACCAGTGTAACCACTCTTTGGAGTTGACTCAGTAGTAGCAACTGTGGGAATATTTCCCTTATAAAGACAGACCCCTATATATGATCCTTTTAGACCAGGAGTAAGGCACAGGCCTTTGATATACCAGTGGATATTAAACATAAAAGTGACACTGAAAACATATACCTTATTTTCTTGGGAAAAAAAAAAAAAGAGAGAGAAGACATTTCTACCTTATTTTACTGATATGTTCAAATATTTATAATTGTGAGGAACAGCTTTCCTTTGCAGGAACTACACCAGTTAGATCCTGTTATATCATTTGGGTGTCTTATAAATGTCTATTATTTTATCAGGTAGGGAAGCCAATGTGCAACTGCCCAGGTTTCTTAAATACAAGTTAAAAAAAAAATCATTCTAATGTTTCTTCTTTTGACATTTCAATTTCTGACTGCTCATGGGCAAGGAAAGGAGTTTAAAAAAAATAAATTGAGAGCTGACATGGCATAAAGATATACTGATATAATGAATCAAAAATAAGGTTTACACTGTGCCAGCTGTTATTATACTTACCTGAGGTGAATTTGTATAATTAAAAGAAAAAAAAGTGAACATTATCATGTTGAGAAGCTAATGAAGCACTCAATTAAGTTTGTCTATATCTCAAGACACATCAAAAGCCCTAGCTAAAGAAAAAATATTATTAAATATCCAGTCTGAAGATCTCAGGGCTGAGAACTGCTTACACTTCATAGAAAACAAAAATGGTGCAAGAGAAAAGAAAAAGCCAAACACAAACTCCATGTTCCTATATACATTTGTACATAATAATGTACTTAAGCACCACAACAGATGACAGGTATAATCAGTCTTAGTAGAAAATACACTAATTATGTTACAAGTGAACAGAAAGATTTGCCATGCAAGACAACTTATGGTTAGATATTTGCAGGATTGAAATAACAAAGGATACTGTCCTGGGGATAACGAGAAGCGGGACCAGGAAACCCTGCCCGTGGGGCCCGGCACTGAAAAAAACACCAAAATGGAGGAAAAAAGGCAAAACATTTACTTACCTGCAGGAGGAGCAATGCTGGAACACTGAAAGGAAAAGCCTGTGCGGCTTACAAGCCGCGCGCCTTTACGCAATTAAGGCTGGCGGGTGACGTCACAAGGACGCACCAGCCGGCAAGGATAAAAGCAGCTGCCGACAACAGGAAGGAGAGAGCGAGTGAGGAGGCGGAGGCTGTCTGCGCTGGCAAAAGACGGAGCCAGCGCGATCAGGGATCGCCCAGGTGGCGAATGGCAGCAGAGGCTGCAAAGGATCTCCCCACCTGGGGTATTGAAATTGAGCCCCAAAAGGGGAGGAGCATTTGGGGCGACTCACCCCTAAAACTGCTGGAGACACACACCGGTGGAGCCATCGAACCATGGCACAACGGGTGTAGTGACATGGAGGGAGAGGCTGAAGCTGACCCCAAGGGAATGGGAGTCTCCCTGCATGATTGCTCCCAGGTACCAGGTTGGGGAGCCGGGCTGGGAGTAGCAAGGATAAGGGGACCCCAAGGGACCAGCGTTGAAGGAGCACTGCCAAGCACGGGCAGGAGGGCTTAGAGAACCAGCCAGTAGGACGCTGGACTGGAAGGTCCTTTGGGGCTTTCTTCCATATTTTTTTCTTCTTTTCTTCATTTTCTTTACCCCTGCCCGACAGGGGCACGCCCCCCTCCAGCTCCAGAAGTAGAGCCAACCTGCTCAAGGGGGTTCCAGATTGAGGGCCTGAGGTGACTGACCATCCTTCCCCAAGGAGTAGGGGGGATATCGCCTAGGGCAATAAGGAGCGACAATACCGAAGAGCGTGTGTGAGAAATGTCACAACCCAAGGGTATGATTTTGTTTGTGTGTGCTTCGGCACTGCTAAATTATTTCCC